TTTTTCCCTTTGTACATCCAAGCGTTGTATTCGTTATGAGGTTTAGTCCTCATATTGCCTTTTGTGACTGGCACTGTCAGGTCAGAGAGGTGTAGTCACGTGCCCAGCATCTTGCTCAAAGAACACTGTGCAACTAGACTGTGAATCCATTTCTAGTCGACTCCAAAACCTATCACTGTATACAGAAGATTTTCCACTTGGTGTTGCAAAATAGAAAGTTCTTTATTAACTTAAGCTTGCTTAGAGTGTTATAACCAAGACATTCTTGGCTAAATCATACCAACAAGTACTAAATAAAAAGCATATAATTGGTCATCACTTTCGAGATGAAGACACTAAAGGTCAGTGATGATAAATGCCTTGACCCAGGTCACGCTGGTGTGCAGTGGCAGAATCAAGAATCCAGCTTGAGTTTCATGCTTCCCTACCCAGTGATGTTTGCACTATGTATTTCTCATTTGTGTGGTTGAAAAGTCTGAGTATAGCACAGTTTAGAGATAGAAATTTATCTCCCTGGCAGCCTAGGAAAATACCCACTTACCCTGTCCCTGCCACAAAAGTATAGACTCTTGTTCTCAGAGTCCCCTACCTGGGAGCCATAGTGCCATAGGAACCTGGCTAGCCACAGCCAGGCCTTTAGGGGAGGATCAGACCAAGACTGCTTTTAAGAGGCATGTCAGTGGCCTGTTGCTGTCATAATACATTATCGCCACAAACCTAGCTGCACAGAACAACACAAATTCATTATGAAAGGCCTTGACTGATTTCGCTGATCTGGGCCTCCCAAGGCTGAAATCAAGGCATTGGGCTGCTGGAGCTTTTACCTGGAAACTTGGAGAGAATCTGCTTCCAGCCTCATTCAGGTTACTGACACAATTCCAGTTCACATGATTATAGGCCGGGATCTCTATTTCTTTCTTTCTTTTTTTGGAAGTACTGGGGTTTGAACTCAGGCTTCGTGCTTAGCAAGCAAATCTTCCTGTTTTAAATTTCCTGACAGGCATGTGCCATCACACCCAACTTTTTTCCATTGAGATGGCGTCTCACCAAACTTTTTTGCCCAGGTTGGCCCTGGACTATGATCCTAGACATCTATCATTTGCAGAGCTTGGGATGACAGGTACATACCACTACCCCTAGCAAGTCACTATTTCTTTACTGGCTGTTGTTTAAAAGTCATTATCAGTTTCTAGAGACTGACTGCATTCCCTCACTCCTGGCTCTTCTCATCTTCAAAGCTAGTCATGGCAGATCACCTCCATCTTCTACATTGAATCTCTCTGACCTCTTTTTCTTCTGCTGCATCATTTTGGCTTTTTGAGGACATATGCTCTTCCTATTTTAAGGCCTGTAATCTTACTTACATCTTCAAAGTCCTTGTTCCAGTCACAGATTTCGGGAGTAGAGTGTGGATATCTTTAGGGGACAATCCTGCCAACCAGAAGAAATCACAAGCTGTTGATCACATTGAGTGTTTGTGTCTGTCATTGTGAAAAGCACAGAAAATGGACGGGACAAGTGTGATGGAACCTGGATGATCCATGATTTGTTCTCCTGCATCTGTTTGGACTCCCCAGTGAAGGCCAGTTCATCTACCACACCTTAAGCTCAGCCAGTGTCTCAGAAGGTTTAAATATGCATTTCAAATATCTTTCTTCTACTGTAGTGTTTTTAAAATCCAGTTTTGCTTTCTATCACTTTCATATTAGTCCTGTGTGTTCCTCAAGAAATTATTAGTAATGCTTGCTATCTGCCTGGAAGCTTCTCCAAAGCATTTCATACACACCATCTTTTATGAGCCTCCTCACCACCATGGCAGTCGGTAAGATGATGACTTACTATGATTGTAATGATAATGGTGACTATCATTACAATGACTGTATTTTATTACCATGGAAAACAAGGTCCAGACAGGTGAGCGACACCACTGATAAACAACAGATTCAGGTTTTAGGCCCGACAGTCACAAATCCCAGCTTCTTTCTGTCAGGCCAAGCAGTCTCCACTTGCTCCCTTCTCACTTTCTTTTACCTGTCATTTTTCAATTAATTAATCATTTCCATTACACTGTTCTACTCTGTCTTCACCATCTCCACATTTCATTTAAATCATGGTGCCACAGCTGGTGGTTGAAAGCTGCCATTTCATTCCTATAGAGTATTTATGCTTGATTTTTTACAGCTTTATTTGTTTTTATACATGAAGCACTGTACCCAGCTGGATCAAATTCATAGTCATTGCACACAGAGCCCAGATTCTGCAAAATGTAATCCGATTAGTGCTGCAGAATGGAGATGTGTGGGAGGTAAAAGCTCTATTATAGAAAATCTTTGGGCCAATGTCCTCCTTCTTGAATGAGTTTTAAGGCAAGCAGATAAAATAAAGCCAAGTGCTACAGGGAAGGCCACCAGCTAAGTGTAGGAAGTTTAATTTATGAGTCCATTTAAGGACTAAATCATTGAACTTAGACAAGTGATAGAGGCTAGGGAAACACAATTAACACTCAATTGAAAAGCAAAAAGAAATGTTGAGGTGAGCTAGTTTGCTCAAATTCTTATTCCTTTAAAGAAAGGGGGAAACATAGTAATAATAGCCAGCACTTTCTGTACATGAGACACTATTCTGAAGACTATGTATATATTAATCACTTCATCATCACAACCCTATGATCTGGGTGTCATACTCATGCTCATTTTATAGATAAGGAAAATTGAGGCACAGAAAAGGTAGATAAGTTGCTCAAAGCAACACTGCTATTGTTTACAGAGCCAGGTTTTGAATCTAGGCACTCCAGCTCCAGAATTCACATTCTCAAGGACTATGTCATATTGCTTCTCTCCAGCCCATCGCCTTACTCTAATTTTAAATATCTTTAAATAGATGGTGAGTGGGAGGAGGACCAGGGAGAGAAAGGATGGAGAAGATAGCCCCTTCTTGGGGCTTTGAACCCTTTCTTTCCTAGTTGCATGATCCTGGGTGGAATTTTTACTCCTCTGTATATGGGGGGAGGGAATGGGAAGGGTGTACTTTGAGAGTGTGGGCCTAGAAAAACTGTATATTCTCTCTAGTTGGAACCTTCAGGGATTCTGAAAAAGGACAGCCACCATCAGGCAGAATTGGGGTTATGGTGAGACTGGAATAATGCTGAGAGTAAAGGAGAAGGTAGCAAAAGAACTTACCATTATTTTTCTGTGTCAGGTTGACTGGGCTAAGGGATGTCCAGTAGGTGGTAAAACATTATTTAGGGATGTGTCTGTGAGGATGTTTCCAGAAGAGATTAGCATTTGAGTTGGTATACTGAGTAAAGAAGTTGGCTATTACCAATGTGTATAGATATCATACAGTCCATTGAGGGCTTGGATAGAGTCAAAAAGTAGAGGAAGGAAAAACTTGTTCTGTGTTTTAGCTGGTACATCCCCACTGTATCCTGCCCTCAGATATCAGTATTTCTGAATATCTGTCCTTCAGACTCAGGCAGGGACTTACACCATTAGCTTACAAGATTGAATTGTAGTCTGCAAGTGGGAGGCCTAGGGAATCTAATGGTTTAAGTTACAATACAAGATGAGGTCTTGAGAACTAGGACCGCTGATGTTGAGGGCAGGAGAAGATGAATCCCAGCTCCATAGAAAGCAGATTCCTCCTTACTTTGCTTTTTGGCTCTATTCAGGCCCTTAACATATTAGATGATGTTCACCTACCCAGTGATGGGCACCTTCTACTCAGTCTACCAATTCAAATACCCATCTCTTCTGAAACATGCATAGAGATACCCTATAATAATTTCCTACCAGCTGTCTAAGAACCCCTTAGTCCAGTCAAGTTGAAATGTAAATAATAAATTTGCAATACAACACTTTTAATTGGAAAAATAAAACATGATTGAATTACAAGTATTTTCAATAAATAGACTTAGAAGTCTTCTCCAGAGAAATTTGTTTCTTCTGTATCTCTTAAGCACAATTCCCATTTTCAGCAATGCAGTGATCCCTAAAATCAAAATATGCATTTTGGTCCTGGCTTAATTTTAATTTCAGCTGGATTATCACCCTTCAGGGGTTCATTTTGCAATGTATGAAGTGAGCATGACACCTGTTCAACCTGTCTCATACAGATGCTGTTTAATATATGTTCTTCCTCTCCCCCAAAAATTCAGTGGTATAGATACCTGAGGTAGAACAGTATTTTAAAGTCTGGTATGCTTTTGTTTCTTTCAGTGGTTTGCTGTGAAGAGTAATTGAGAACTGGCCAGTTGGAAGCCACATGTGTTCATTAGTGCAAATCAATAGGACTGGGGGAATAGGGTCATAGCTAACGAGGAAAATGTGCCTTGTAAACAGTGTTTATGACCCTGTTGTTATTTTCCTTGATTTGGCATCCTTGTGTGCACTGGCCAAAATAACACCTGTGTGTCACAATGCCCCAGAACCATAAGAACTGTGGAGTCAGCTTGAAAAGAGATTGGCCAAGGCTAAAAATCTGACTGTCCACTTAGAGGCTGCTCAGGGAAAGTTTGAGAGGCAGGGAGCAAATCATGGCTCCTAGCTGTCTGTGTACACTCAGTCCACAGAGTCATACTGTCAGGTTTTCCCCACTCCCCAAAAATATGTTAAACACAGTTAGAGCTCTTTTCTGACTTTGGAGGTTTTCCAAACACAAAATGAGTTTCTAGGACCTACAGAATGTGAGAAGCTAAGGAGCATCCACTTCATTTCCAGACCTTCCAGCCTGTTATGACCACTTGGTCATTGATTAGTATGTGGGTGGACACAACAACTCATACTTGCTATTTCAAAGATGATACCCTTGAGTATCATCTTTGAAACAGTCCAGGGGTTCCAGCTGTCTTCTTTGTGTCTGTAAAATGGGACTACCATGAGTGCAGTGAGTGTGCCTGGAAGGTGTAGTGTCCTCATTATGGCTCTTTGGAGACTTACTTCCGTGTTTCAGGGTGATGCTGACATGCTGTACCCTTTGGTCTTGCCTCCCTTGTACCACAGGATCGATAAACAAATAAGCAGGTTTCGGAGATGGTTACCTAAGAAACCAATGAGGCTGGACAAGGAGACACTGCCAGACCTGGAGGAGAATGACTGCTACACTGCCCCTTTCAGCCAGCAAAGGATCCATCAGTGAGTGTTTCATGGCTAAGCCCCATCTTACTAAGGATGTGCAGCTTGGTAGAGACTTCCCCTGTAGAAGGAATAGCATATTGTCCTTCTTCCCTAAGAGTCTTTTGTTTATACTCTCTTTATAGCAGTCAGGATAAGCTAAGGGCTGTAACAATAATCCCCATGTCTCAGTGACTTAAAAATGAATCATTTCTCCTCCATGTGTGTGTTTGGTGAATGTTCCTCCCCGTGGTGATTCAGAGACCCAGGCTCCTTCTCTCTTGTGGCTCTACCAACTCCCTGTGTTGAGAGCCCAGACAGGGGAAGTAATTCACACCATTCCCTATTCACAAGAAGGGGTTATTTTGTTTGTTTGTTTGTTTTTTTATCTCAGTTTGCTTTTTAGTTCCTTCAACATGTCACCAAATTGTCCCAGAAAAAGTCAAATCACCTGGCAGCCCACTTGCTGACTCAACTAACGTCTGTCTCAGAACAGTAACATCACTTTTGACATGTGGGCAGAAAGAAAAAGTTGGCTAAGTAACAGCTGGTAAAAAATTGCAAAGGTGATAGACAATTTACTTTGAAGCTTCTGAGATGACAAGAAGTGATTGTTGGTAGACAGGATAGATGGTAGGAGAGAAAAGCATGCCAAAGATTGTAAACAAGTGAGGAAGACAGCCTCAGCCCCCAAAGGAGGCATACATCAGGTCACCCCAGCTTCATATTCAATCAGAGTTGGGAACTCCTGGCCGTCTCTGCTCCAGTCACAGTGACAACTTCAGTAAAAATGACTCACCTGAGGGAAAGAAAGGACTCACAGATTTTTTTTTTAAAGTAGGTTGCCAGTTTTGAGAAAAAAATTAACTAAATGGCAGTTGTCAAGAAGTTGCAGGGAATGCAAGGTTGGGGTATGTTTTAGCAGCAGAAAATCAATCCAACTCTGAGGGAGGAGAGAAAAAAATTGAAAGCATAGATGTGCTGCATCAAAATGCACAATGCGTAGGAAAATCAATCAGATGTAAGGGAAACAACTCAGGAAGCCTGTGAGATAGCCAAAGTTGGATTCTCACAGGTCAGATTGGTACCAACCCAGCCACAATACATGATCATTTAAAACATGAAACTTACAGCCCTAGTTAAAATCCCCATGGAAAATAGGAACCAAGTAATACTTAATGTTAATTCAGAGGTGAGAATCTGTGAGTGTTTTCTTTAAGAAAGAAGACAGATGAAAGCTGACATGTTCCCACTCTTAATTGAAATCCTTGCCATGTCAGTTCTTCATATTTGAAGTTTTCTAATAATTGTTTTTAGAGTCTTGTTTACATTCATATTTTGCCTTTGCTTCTCACCTGCCAAAAAAGTGCCTAGCACAGTGTGGGAGGGACTCAAAATTTTTAGATAATGATGGTGATACACGGATAGGTAGGTAGATGGCTGGGTGGTTGGATGAATGGATGGATGGATGCATGCATGCACAGATGGATGCATGGACGAATTACTGAAGTATATGGCATACTAAGTTTGGGTTTGTTTCTATATAGCAAAATAGAAAAGGTCTCCCACTGCTTCTCTTCCTGTTGGTTATGAGTCTGATGTCATTGTTTTTAAAGATTTTTAATATGGTCCTAAAAATTAGAAACACTTGGACACCCATCAGGTATTCTACAGACTAGAAGTGGGAATAATATTTTGCAAGTATTTTAAAATATATGACAAATGAAAGATATGGGATGGGGATATTCAACTATCTCACATATTTGAGATGCCTTTTTGACATATTTGGGTATTGATTCACTAATAATTGGTTAGCTTAACAATCACTAATTCAGTGTTCACTTCTTACTGGGTATTATCTGGGTACAAAGAATATGTTCAAACTCCTATACCATCCCCCAGCCTAGTGATGCAGACTATTTAAAATAATTATAAACAGCATAATAGGTATGATTTAAAAAGAGAAATTGCTTTATGCTGCAGATTTGTAAAGAGGTTGGTACGTGTTGAGAGTTTATCACAAAGAAGAAAATGCTTGATATTGAGTGTAGAAGGCTAAGACTTGCCTAGCTAGATAAGGGAGGAGAGATAGCCTAAGAAGAGGGAGCAATGTATGAAAGAACAAAGGCATGAAACAGGATGGAGTGTTTGAGGAATAAAAAGTCATTTTCCATAAATATTTCTGTGAATAGAGTTAGGGAATGTGAGGAGAGTTGATCAATCCATAGAAGATGAGATTTCAAGACAGGATAACCAACAAGAGAAACAGAGGAACAACTGAAATGAAACAAACCTAAGAACCAGACCTCAGTGGGAACCAAGAGAACAGAGGCAGCTCTTTCATGAAAATGAGAGATGAAAAATTAAATAAGTATCTAGAATGTTATAGGTGATAGGAATTAATTTCTGTTTGAAAATTGTCATGCCACATGGGTAACGTTCCTTTGATTGCTGTGTAAAAGTAAGATGTGAAGAATGCTGGCTGTCAAGTTGGAAACAATTATTGGTATAATTAAAAAGTCCCTAATGTTGCTTTGAGGGTCATATTAATGGTTTTAATTTAATCAAAACTAGTTGCTAATGAGCTCTGGGAGTGGTTACATGATACCCTATGTTTCCAAATGCAATCCAAAGTCTGATGTGACATCTTGGTTCTGCAGAATGTTTCATAATTGTGTTTGTATTGGAGTAAAAAGAGAATGATGGAAACTTAAGTGTGAGGGCAGGCATAAATTTAGTAGAGAAAATAAAATTGAGTGTTTTGCAAATAATGATCAAAATGGAGAAGTGTTAAAATATTTTGCTCTGAGGATAAAACCCAGATTTGTAAGTTGATGCCCTGTCCTGCACCCATCCTCTGTACTATATACATTGGCCACACTGGGCTCTGACCTCAGCTCACTTTACCCTCTTCCTTATACTTGGAGTAACTTTTCCCTTAGGCTCTTTTCTTTCAGTATTCATTACAGACTTTTCTTCCAGAAAACCTTTCATGATTTCCATCCTCAACCCTCCATTCTGGGTGAGGTCCAATCTTTTATGTCTTGGTAATATTTTTCTTTTCTTTAATTAATAGTGTGGGCCTGTTTTGATTGTTTTCTCTTATACTACAAGATCCTTGAAAGACTATGTCAGCCTCATTATTTTCAAATCCCAATAATAAGTGCTTAATAATGGTTTCTTAAATGAAAAGCTAAGTGAATAAGTAGACATGAAAACAGAAAACTCATGTGAGGAAAGACTAAAGATGATATGAAGTTAACTGACTGCACACTCATCTCAAACTGAATTTGAGCCGTTTTCTCCATGTGGTCCACCTCCATTGTTCTCTGTATCTGATGAACAGTGTTCAATGACTGAAACGGAGTCTGGAAGTTATTCTAGACCCCTCCCTCACCTCTACTCTTCACATCTTATGCATCTCCAAGACCTGATGGCTTTACATCTTTGTCGTATCTTTACCCCGACAGCTTTTCCTCATCTTCCCCCCCAATATTATCTCACTTCTGCCCAGAAATCACATAACAGGATTTCTGATTGCACTCTTGCCCATGTCCAATGCACTCTTTCAGCACATACAGGATAATATTTTGAAAGTGCACATTTAATCACATCATTTGCCCTATTATGATCCAGACACAGGCAACCTCTCTTAGATCTTTGAATCTGCATCAGGAAATTTGTACATGTTGTTTCTTTCCTGAAATATCCTTCCATTCCTTCCTTTTTTTAAGCATTTAAAACAAAAATTTTCTTTGTGCTATGGACTATATGGTACCAAAAAGTTAAAGTTGAGAATCAACTAAAAGAAAATAGCTTAACCTTCTATTTGAACATGTCTGTGTTTGAGAAGCAATAAAAGCAAACCTGTGGATAGACATCTCTATAAGTCAAAGATTCCATTTGGTTATTTTATATGGCATCACCAGAGGTGGGTGTACTGGTGGAAAAATGTTATTACATACCAGAAACCATTCTAAGAACTTTGCTTTGCTCCTCATAACAGTCCTACATGGACACTTGCAGATGTAGAAAGTGAGGCACACAGGTGTTAAGGGACCTGCTGTGGGTCTCACACCTAGGCTAGATGATCTGCCTAACTCCACACACCAGTGATTTAGCATCATAGAAGCTCTTTTGTTTCACATGAGTATCTAATGTGTGCCCCCCCCCACCACCCGGGGAAGGAGGCACAATGTCGCATTCAAACACCTAGACTCCTTCTGTCTTGAAATTCTTCATTTCCTAAGTTCCTTATAGACAAGAGAGGGAGAGAGATCAATGATTTTTAGGAAGTTTTTATATTTATGGACGAGGTTTAGAAGCAGTGTGAAGCACTCTCCCTGACAATGCGTGGGTCAGAGCTTACTCACGTACTTACTCCTAACTCAAGAAACACAGGGAGAGCTAATCTACCTGTATGCCCAGGAGGAAAAGGGAAACAGGCTTGTTAAACAACTAGGCAGTGATGGACCAAAAATTCCAGTTCAGAGGGGAGGCTCCAGATCCCACAGGCAGAGTGGCTCAAGTGGTAGAGTACCTGCCCCACAAGTGTGGGGCCCTAAGTTCAAACCCCAGAACCGCCAAAAGAAAAAAAGAACTCAACACATCCCATCCTCTTAAGCATTCTGTTCCACTGTAGGATTTCTCATCCTCTGCTTTATTGACATTGGGACTGAATAACTCTGTTGTGAGGAGCTGTCCTGTGCATTTTAGGATCGCTCGTAGCATCAGTGGAACTCTACCCATTAGATACTAGTAGCATACCTTTCTCCTTCAATTGTGACAATCAAAAATGTTTCCAGGCATTGCCAGCTTTCCACTGGTGGTGATGGTAGGGTGGGCACAAAATTGTACTCTTTCCCATTGCCCTGAGAACCCTCTCCCACCTGTTTTTTATTACATGATACCCTAAAGGCAGGACAATCCATTATCTGATAAATTAAGCTCCAATTGAATCTGATAATTTTGCAAGATAAGAACATTTAAGCATTAATTTGTTCCTCTTCACCTCTTTCCTG